TCCTAGCAGCTGCCCACGCTGTTTGGGCATCGTGTCCCACTGAGGATGGTCACTCGTTCAGCCAACTTGAGAGAAAAGTTGGGTTGCTTAATTGCCGCAGAAGCGGGTGGGCTTGCCCACGCCAGCCCTCGTACCGGGCCCGCTGCCCTGGTCCTGTGACCCCCAGGGTCGTGCTGCTCCCTCAGCATCCGGGTCCAGTTCACAGCGACAGAGGGGGGGAAAAAAAAAAAAAGCGTGTTGGCATAGTTCTTGCATGCCGGGGTGACAAAATGACTTGTGCGCCTTTACGAAGTTGGAAGTTTTTTCTTGGTAGTGCAACTTCTGAACCAAAACTCAGCAAGCTGTCTCAAGCTGCTCCTGCAGTAGAATAAAAACCTTGTTCTAGACTTTTTATCTAGTTTGCAAGAAAACGTGACTCTTAGGGTTTTTTTTAAGTGCTTAGTTGGTCCCTGCTAAAGTTTTCTGACACACTTTTCCCTGACCATCGACCCAATCTCCTTCCCTGGCCTGGCTTGCTCTTGAGGGCTCCTCCTCTCTGGGGTGGTCGCACCCAGAGCTAGCTGTGCGTGCGGAGCTCATCTGCCACAAACCGTGCTCTCGCAGGAAGCGGGTGACGAGATGTTTCCACAGGAGGCCGCGTCACGGCAGCCACTGGGAACCTGCACACGACTTACTTAAATTAAAGTTTGTCTGAGGTAACGGGTTGGGGGTTCTCGTTTCAGTCTTGGGGACTGCCTGAGTTTGAAGGAGTTACTTTCCTGTTATACTTTGAAAAAAATATGAGTAAGTGTTCTTATACCTGCTTAATTTTAATACCACAGGGAAACAATTAAAGTGTTGTAAAACTTGTGCTGGCTTGAAAGTGCCGGATCAAAGCTCCTGGTTTAGGCTTGTCCTAAGTCATCAGTGTGGGTGAAAGCTCAGGGCTAAAGGCTTGGACCGAGGGCCCGCTGCTGCAGACCAGGCTCTGCCAGGTGCTTCTAGGTACTCCAGAATATGACTGTTCTGTATGTTAATGTGTTTTATAAATTGCATTAATGAAAAACTTGTGAGCATGTGGGTGTGTGAAATGCTGAGAAATTCCCTGATTCTGCTGAAGCGGGCTGTTAGGAACCTGCAAACTTAATTTAAAGCACTGGGTAGGTAGACCGAGGAATAAGATATGTGGTGTCCTTAGCTGGTAATGCAAGCCTGATGGCAGGTCTCCTACGGCAGCTCATTATGGAACTTTTTTATTTTTTTTTTCCACACAAAAAAGCCCAGCAGCGATGGAAGCTCTTTTCTCTTCCGGTGTTACCAAGTGGTAGAGCTGAAACATGGCTTGAGGCTGACCCTTGCGGCGGCAGTGCGGTCGGAGGTGCCGATACGGTTCAGGTGGCACTTGGGACCTCGGTTCCAGGTCTCGGGCCTGTGAAACAGCGGGCAGACGGCAGTCTGGGGGTACAGCGTTTTGATAGTGTGATAGCTGTTTGTTTCATTGGTCATAGAGAAAAGAGGGATCCTTCATGTATGATGTGGTTTTCCGGGTGACTTGTGATTTAAATTAGCTGAATAGACTTCCCCCCCCCCGTTTTTTTCTTGGCATACATAAATTCTATTCTGTTTTTAGTCCCACTCTCGGGACATCAGAACGGAGCCTCTGTCTGCTCTGTCCCAACGCCTGAACCGCCTTGGGCAGCTGTCAAACCGGCTTTGACAGAACTTCTCAAAACTGTTCTCCAGATTTTTGTGAAGATAGACCAGGAGACGACAAGGAACTCTAGTTACACCCCTACTGAGGGGAAAACAAAGCTTTTGTTAGAAACTGGAGAATCCCCATGGGGAAGAGGTGCTGGCTCCATAAACCCTGTCCCTGCAGGAGCTGGGCTGTCTGGTACCCTCTTCGTCTTTCTCCTGGCACGCGTACGGTATACAAATGCATGAGCTAGACTGCCGCGTTGGCTGCACGTTAACAGCATCTGTTCCTTTTTTGATTTTATTAAATGAAGTTTCCCTGGTTAAATTTGGGTTCAAAATATCTAGCCTTGGAACTATGCCTTTGAATAAATAAAGCCAGACCCTGTACTGACTTACCGCATTTCTCCTTCTTCTTTTTCCATGTGATTTACAGTAACGTTTCTCTTGGGCTCTCCTCAGAGCTGAACCTCCTTATGGTTCTACTTTAACTCAAAAGCGAAGCGCACAACCTCCTCTGACACGCTGTCACAGTGTCGTGATTGTCCCGGGCTCGCTGGTGTTAACTCCCGGGATGGGACTTGCTTGGGGGTGTGCTGCAAGGTTGCCTACAGGCGAAAAGGACAGTGGGCAGTGCCCTGTGATGTACTGGGAGAAAACGATTTCAGTCTGTAGTTTACTCTAAGCCCACATCTAAGGGAGCAACGAGTTATTAGGCCACCAAATGAACGATTTATTTTTTTTTTTCTTCTGGTGAGGTGCATGTTGCCTCGCTCATCTTACACATTCCCCATAAGGAGATGTGTGTTGCTCGATGGATGCAGTGCTTTTGCTGGATTTTGGCCCAAATACCCTTAGCCTCATTTGAGGGAAAACCTTCTGAGCTATGATTAGACCCTGGCTTTTGAGATTTTTTTGGGGGGAGGGTATTAATGGACTCTCAGGGAAACTCAGGCAATGCACTATTTCTTGAAGCCTTAAACAGCCATATTTAAGGGCCGCATAAACAACTAAGAAGTGGTTCTAATGTTGATGCAGTTTTCTGTGAAGGCGTTCCCCTGATCCTTGTGCAAAACGGTGCTGTACTTTGCGAGAGCGAAGAAGCAGGGACAGCTGAGTGAAGGGGTTTGCCAGCTCGAGAGCCGAGTGCTGACATCTGGGTGACTGCAGCGCGGAGACTCGGCCGGTTCGTTCTAGTGACGAAGGGGTATGTATGGCTGTCCTGCTCCTGCCGAGGAGAGCTAAGGAAGGTGCAGGTTCAGTTGAGATGCAGACCTGCTTATGCCGCCTTACACATCATTTCTCAAACTACGCCCAATGTAACTTTGAGTGTTTTTTGTTTCTGCGCAGATGTCTCCCCCACAGCTATTGCTTGGGCCCAGCTAACTACACCTGACTGCCCAAAGCTGCTCGGTGCCTTCAGGGTAGGGCACGGAAAATGAGATCTCTTTACAGGTGTAAGTGCTTGGCCATCAGTCCAGCTGAGCTGACGCTAACAATAACTTGGGTTTAGTCTTTTTTTTTTTTTTCTTCTTTTATTGTAAAATGTAAAAGCTGCCTTCACAGAGTTGTGCTACTTTCTTCTTACTCATTCTGCAGGTTCTTAGGGGTGGTCTGCAGGTTGGGAAGGGCTAGGGTACGACGTGTGAGTAGCACTGCTGACAGGTGAGACCCATCCGTGCAAGGTCTGGCTGTGCATCTGTGGCTTGCTCCGGGGGTCTGGAGGGGACCGCTTACGTCCCACCCCGGTCTCTTGTGGGTGGAAGTGGACAATCTCAGACGCTAAGCTGAGAGGGCTGCGGAGCTCTGTCCCTTCACGGTACAAGCCACAGCACGTGCCCTGAAACAATTAAAGACTTTTAATAACAAATAGCACTGCAAGGAGTAGTGTTTGCCACATGATGGGATCAGGATAGAATAAGGCTGTTGGTCTTTCTCGTAATAACTGCTAATTTAGAAATGGCTAGGTGAAAATGCCCAGAATTACTTTAAAAGTGATTCCCTCCCTTCCACTAGAAAGGAAGACAGTTCTGGTGACCTCTCCCCATCCGACCAGGGGGTCTGAAGGGACGTTAACCGCTGAGGACTGCTCCCCTCCAACACATGCCCTTTTTGTTGTGTAACTCAAGACGAAAGAGTCATTAAGAGCTCGCCTCGGGCACACTCAGCTACCAGCTGGAGGAAAGAAATTAAGTAACTGACTCTAACCTGGATTTAGGCTTTTGAGGGATTTAGCATGATTTTTTTCTGCTTATGTCCTTTAATTTAGATGAAACCTTTTCCAGCTAGTGTAAACTCTGGAAATTTCTGGTGTGCTTGGCTTCCTTGGCTAATTTGAAGACAGTTATCTGAGGTGTCTCTTGTGGCTGAGGAAGAAAGCTCAAAGGCAGCCTTTGCTGTATATTTGCTGGGGAGAATGTGTCCTAGCAGGATAATGCTCTCCTCCAGCACGACCTGGGGTTAATGTGGGGGTGATTATCTGATCCACATGGAAATACCATGGCGTGCTGCAGGCTGCCCCAGCGTCCTTCGGAGCCTGAGCGCAGCGGTGGGAACCTCCTGTGAGCCCTGGATCGAAGGATGTGTTGCCTGGTACAAACATGCAGAACAACTCCAACGTGCCATAATTAAAAATCGAAATGGTTGTAAGCTTCAAGATGTGTTTTGAGGCAGTGCTTGCCAAAGTAAAACTCTTCCCAGCTTTTCCTTCCTCAAACTACATTGGCAAGGAAACAGTGTAAGTTTAAGTTAAGGGAGAAACACTCCCAAAGTAAGCAATTTCATTAAGCAGCAGAATTTTTTGTGCATGAATTTCTTGGTGTCTTATGGTGTGGTTGTGTCACATTCTTCCTTGAAGATCCTCCGATACAGATACTTCCATTGAATACCTGCCTCTTTTCAGAATATCATGTAAAAAAAGAAGAAACTTGTCCTTGTGTTTTCTAGCCCTCTCTCAGATTGTAACTGAAGTTGGCTGACCAATTCAAATGTGACGGGGTCAAAGGGAACAGTTGTTTTGTTCTGATGTGCAATCTGCTTGAATGCTGCATTCAAAAGTTGGGTTTTTTTGAAAATTCATTTAGCGGAGACATTTGTTCTCAATTTCTCCTTTTTATTCTCTCCAGGAGGCAATGTCAAGTGAAAGCTCAGTGTATGAGGCAGTGTGATGGGGAAAAACATTTTTCTTCTGACTTTGCACTGTCCTGTTTTGCTTGAGAAAAAGGCACATGCTCTTAATTATCGTAGGGTGTGCTGGGTTTTGTGTGGAACCGTAAAATGGAGAAAGCTGGAGTGGCTGTCGTGGTGAACAGAGCATATGACTTATTTATGGAAAGCTCTGCCTTCATTAGCTTATTAGCATTTTTCTTCCCTAATTTGTACCTTCTTTGTTTTGGGGGATGGCGATGTTGTGTTTGTGTGGCTGCTTGGGAGGGATGGGCTGTGTTAATGTATAGCCCCTTTGTCTTGCCAGTACATCTGCTGGTCCTTATAGACTTGAGGATTTTTTTATTTAGAAGTTTCTTGGCTAGTCTTTATCATTTTAATCATAAATTAACATAGGCAACCTTAGCAAGCTTTGCAGATGTTAGTTGTGTAAGAGATGTGGCTTAAAGTCTGCGATCTGCAATGTGTCACCATAAAGCGCTGACGTGAGTGATGTTCACAGCCGGAGAACGCCGGAGGAGAGCTCAAGGATGGGCAGCACCACTACGAGGGAGCCGTCGTCATACTCGATGCCGGAGCGCAGTATGGAAAAGTCATCGATCGTCGGGTGCGCGAGCTGTTCGTCCAGTCCGAGATCTTCCCGTTGGAAACGCCAGCCTTTGCAATCAGAGAACAAGGCTTTCGGTAGGTCGTCTACTGCGATGCCTCTGCCTGTATGTTCTGCTTGTTCTCTCCCTTCGGTCTAATGGTATCTGTGGATGTTGGCAGCAGTGGTAATTGCGTGGGGTTTTATGTGCAATAGCTTTCATTGTAATGATGCTAATGATCGCATCTTCAGCTTATCCACAGAAACACCTGAGTTTTGCTGAGGACACTTGTGCAGCAGTATATATTTTGTATATTTGCTTCTTAATGCCCTAGTGTCATTTTAATAATTTCCATTTGTATAATTTAAGAGGTTGCATTTTAAATATGTATCTGCAAAAATTTAGATGATCTTGATTTACTTGTTAAACTAGGGTAGCTATTAATCAAGAAAACAAGCCTTGTGAGTTTCTAAAAATTATTTTTTTAGTTTAAAAAAAAATTTAAATAACTAACTTGGATACTGAGGGTATTGTGGTAAATCATACCAAACTGTTTCTGGGAAGCAACTAAAGAAAACTAACTGAAACTACCACTCGTTATTTGCAGCAAGAAAAGGTCTCTCAATTATTTAGTACTTTGTACATTTCTTTTGCTTGTTTTATTAGGCTTACCAGAGTATGCCTGTCTTTTGTGTGGGGAAAATAAACACCCTGAAGTCTACCAATCATCAAAGACCTTACTTGTCAGTTTGGTACAAATCCAGAAATACGATGCATGTGTGCTTCTCTGTTGTGCCTGGCAACAGATAAGATGGCACTTGGCTGCAGAATTGCGTTTTTCTAATCAGTGGTAATTAGTGAATCAGTAAACAGTGTATTTTAGAAAGTCAAATAGGAACCTACTGATCTCTCCTGAAAACACAGAACAGAAAACACAGGAACTGCTGGATCTATCAGGTAGCTGTTGTGTGAAGAATTTTTCAGAAATGTTCTGAAAAGTACCTTCTAGTCAGATCTCGTTTATAATTCTTCTCCAACAGTCAAGTCTTTAAAAGATGGACGTACCTAATTACTGGTTTAAAAAAAATTCTTGCGTCTCCTGTGTGTTGGATTTGAGGTGTGGGTCATAGTACTAATGATGTTTTGTCTCGGACCTGTGCTGTATTGGTGCAGGTTTCTAGTGGGAAGACCTTTTCCACCTTTCTTTTCGTAGTTGAAGGTTCTTCAAAGTCTCATGATTAGACCTGTTGGACTTATCATTCCAAATAATTACTCTCTAAAATGTGGCAAGACCTCTTCATTCAAAAGGTCACTTCTCAAGGTTGAGATAGTGGTTTCAGGTTATCGATTACCCAGGTTGGTCAATAAGCCTTGTGTCCACAGTCTCAGTCAATCATTTGCATCCAGGAAAGCTCAACAAATACTGATGCCAACTGTTGGGTGCCTTTATTTAGTGACCACCATAAAAAAGACTTCATGGTTTTACTGCAAGTTTTTGATATATATTCCCTGTGTCATGGGAATAGTCGAGTTTCTGTGTTGCAGCTCATGCATTGAGTGGACCAAGGAGCTGCGCTTTGGTCTGTGCTGAGGTTTGAGACAGGCAGCAAGATTGAACCTTTTGCTAAATTGTATTTACATGTTGTGTTTAAAAAGCCAGGTCCTCCAATTTTAATAGTTTCAGAACAATCTCTAGTGACAAGTTTTATCTGAATGTGACATAAATGTCAGCAGTTTCCATGAGATCCTGGCCCGGGGCTGAGGAGGTGCCACAGTCGGGGGCTCCGCTGGTGTCAGTCTGAATTCTGGCGCTGTCTGAGCACTGCCATGAGCCCTGAGGTTGGGGTATCAATGCAGGCATTTTAGTCTTGGTATTTTTATGTGGTTCCTGATGTGCCTTTAATCTGCTGCAAGTAGGCTTTCCAAAGCTAGATCAGCCTGTTTTGGAAATGGTTTAAGGTAAACCAGAAAAAGGTATATTAATACCAGCGCAAGAAGGTATGTAAGAAATTGCGTGGTGTTGCAGTAAAACTTTCAAAATCTTCATCCTGTGCTAGTTTTAATTTCTCCTAGTCAGCTGAGAGGATGCAGGTTCCTCTCTCGCCCTCAGCTCCTAACGTTTTTGTTTAATACTTGGGCATGTTGGATAACCTTTCTGTATTCTGTGGGATTTTAATTGGTATGGAAAAAAGCAGATTTTTAAGACTCTACTTTTTGAATAGGACAGTGTGTAACTATTTTGACTTCTCATAAGAATGTTTCATTTGTAGGTGAGGCTATATTTCCTTTAATATTAAATAGTGTTCTGTACATATGGCACTTAACTCCACATATAGAAGCATCTGCTTATTAGAAGCGGTGATACCACCAGGCATTAAGAGATTTCAGGCTCTTTCTAGTGGTGTCCGAGTTTAGGAAATTCGTCATGTCTCCAACTGGAACAGAAGTGCCTGTACGAGAACAGCAGGTACTAGTTGTCAAGATTGTTCAGTGTAAAACTACAGCTATGTCAGTTGTATGCTTATTCCGAAGCTCACTTGTAGATCCCAGCATACAAAGAAATAAATGCTGCCTCTTCCAGCTTGCGAGCTGCAGTGCTTTGGCTCCGAGGGGTGCCTCCATCCAGCCCTCCACCTCCTCCCCTGCCTTGAAATGAGGAGCCGGGGCTGGGGTGGAGTGGGGCTGCAGGGGAGATCTAGCCGCCCATGGGTGGGAGCAGGTACCCTGTGTGACTGCAGTTGAGAGGTGGAGTTCGGAACGTGGGCTCGTTACGACATGATTTTTTTTTTTCTGCCGGTGGTACGGATGTTGTGAACGCAGTGCCTGTTTCTGCTGCTTAAAAATAGAAAAAAATCTATTTTGACAGTACTTGGTGATAAACACTCTAAATAATGCTAGAAGGAAGCTTTATTAGATGTATTTAATCCCATGTATGCAACTCCTCTGTGGTCCCATTTTGCATTTTTTGTTGGGAATAATGGGTTCGGTGTTCTCTGTGAAATAAACAGTATGCGAGTCCAAGGTCTGGTACGCCCGTGTTTGATCCTGGGTTGAGGCTGAAAAGCATTGCTCAACTGGCTGGTACTTCTGCAGTTCACGATCTTGCAAATCATCATGGTTTGCAAAGGTCTCTCTTCCCCTTTGAAAAGATTTAATTTTCTGTTATAATGTGAAATATTAACTTCAAACCATAAAAGCTTGCACGTATTGGACTTTTATTCACAACCTGTGGCTAATGCCATCTCACTTTGTAATCAGAGTGGATTAAGGGACGTTTTCTCAGCAGCTCTAGAAATTTGGGAGTCTGTTTTCTGAACACGGCTCCCCTCCAGATGGCATTGACATCATGAAGTATATATATATCTTAATGCTAATACTCTGTGTTTGATCCTAGCCATCTTGCTTCTCTCTCGTAGTTGACGCTTGGCTATGAGGAATTTAAAATACAGTCACTTTTTAAGATTAATTATATTTGACTTTGTTTAAACTGATGAAATACTTCTCTGGTAAGCTGCTGGTTTTGACAGCTGTAGCATAGCAAAGTTAAGCTATATGGTAGGGTATCTGTGTTAAAATTTATATTAGAATATGTAGACTTCTAAGAGTATTATGAGGCAATGTCAATGTTTAAAGCAAATAAAGAGATTTTAAAGTAAGCAATGTATTTGAGAAAATATTTTCTTTACCTTTTGTCTGCAGAGCTATCATTATATCTGGAGGACCAAACTCTGTGTATGCAGAAGATGCACCATGGTTTGACCCAGCAATATTTACAATAGGAAAACCAGTTCTTGGAATCTGCTATGGCATGCAGGTGCTGTTGAGAGATACGTTTGTCTACAGCCATCTTCTAGGCCTCATTTCTGATACTAATGGCAGATGAACTGCTGAAGGACCTACTTTTCAAATATGAGCAGTATGCCATGTATGCAAAAGATATTTTTAAAGTGCTAATTGGTAAACTGAGCATACCGTGTATTCTTTTCTTGGCTCTGCCATACCAATAGAATAAATGGTTTCTTTTTGCTTAATTGCTGTGAATTGGGTTCCACACTGACTTTTTCTGTCACAATGAATGTAACCTGGGAGTCATTAACTGATTCTGTCTAGTTGGTATTGGAAAATGTGCCCCTCATGTAAACAATAGTTTTTCCCTTGGTTTTCAAGTGTGGAATGTTCCTAGCATAGTTCTTAAGAGCACTTAAATGCTCCCCACCAACCACTTATTTACCTTAGGACTGAGTGGTGATCCTGCAATGATCTAGTAGGTCCAAGCTGAGTGAAGAAACAAACTTCCAAGGAGACAAGGGATGGATTATATGCATGACTTCTGCTTATGCATCTTGATTTTTTCCAGGGTTAGTGATTTACTAGGCCATCAGAGGTGCTGAATAGTGGCTGGAAAAACGCCTTTAGAAAGGCTCATAATTATGGAAACAATGTTGGCACTCCCTGTTGTAAAGGGAAATGTTTGTTGAATTAAAATGTGCCTTAAAATGCTAAGGAAAGTGAAAACCACGTTAGCTAGCCTCAAGCAGGGGAGTTCCTTAAGGCTGATGTTACAGAAATGAATGAAGTGTGTGTATTAACGCAGTACTACTTCATTAGAAAAGATTGAAATCAGTCAAGTGCAGTAAGTATAATATCAATCTAGGTCTAAAATGAAGCCTTAAATCTCTGAAAATTGAAGTAGTTGGAAGGTGAAACTTTCAAAATATTTTTTAAGTTGCCAGTTATATTTGCAAGGAAAAAAAAAGTCTTTGAGACTTCTGGAATCTAAAATGCCGATATCCAACTCTAAACAACAAGGTGAGGTTTTAGGAAGAAAATACCTGGCTGAGAATTGTAGTACTCTGATATAGCAAGGATCATTAAGAGTCACAGAAATAACGCTAAGGGAAGAGGCTCACGTTTTTGACGGGTTCTCCAGAGCTGAGGAGCCACATTTTGAGAAGTTTAAGCCTATCTGAGGGCCCTTAACTAAAGGATAGATAAATCAGATTTTTGTTCAGCAGCTTGACTGTTTTTATGATAACTGGCCTGAGATACTCAGCTGATCGTAGAGCAGCCATTTGTAAGTGCAAGTAGATGTACACTATTGAATATGCATTATTTTGCAATTATCTACCTATTGTCTACTGTTGTGGATCTCTGCTGCTCATTGTTTGAAGAGAATTCTTACCATTTTGCAAAATGATATATTAAATTAGTATAATCACGAAAAACTAGGTTGGTATGTATTGGAGGGCTAGAGCTGTTGTCAGTCATGGGCAGACTGAGATATAAAGCGGTACTAGATTGCGTGGTGCTTTTTCATGTAACACTTCTGTTTTGACAGATGATGAATAAGGTATTTGGAGGTACGGTGCACAAGAAGAGTGTTAGAGAAGATGGAGTGTTTAGCATTACTCTGGATAACACATGTTCACTGTTCAGGTACTGTATTCTTGGTTGGCACCCATCCAGTTCTTGAAGGGTAGTAGGAAATCTGAAACCATTCACTTTCTACCTTCCTTTAAAATTGCTTTGTGATGTTTTATAAAGCCAGAATTAGATTTCTTGGTAGTTTGGCAATGCCTTTCAAGTTCCTTGTAATAATTCTAACAGTTTACTCATACCCGACATCCCAATTTTATTAACTTTCCCCTGTAGGGCGCTGCAGAACTTTATACCCTGCCTAAAGTCTGAGGTGCCCAAATTGTCCTGAATACACTTTGTGAAGTTTTCTTGCTCAAAACTTCATTGAAATAAAAAGCAGGACTCCTAAGTATCCTGATTGACTCTAGATGGCTCTACATGTCAAAGAGAGGATACTTCAATATTGCTGTGTTTCTAGAGAAAACACGGACCCTTCTGAATTAAGGTAAATTACTTCTTGCATGAAGGATATATTTTACAAGGACTTACACAGCTTCCAATGGAGGCATCTCAGAGTTGGAGATGACTGTTTCTGGGAAAGAAATCCTGCGTATGTTTCAAATGGGCCTGGTCAATCGAGATGTTCTTTTATTGGGATCCCCAAGGGCTTCTCTTGGAAACGCAGGTAGTTAGGTTTTTTCTTTTTTTAATTGATTCTAGTTTTTAATCTTTGTTTAGGGGCCTTCAGAAGGAAGAACTTGTACTCCTCACTCATGGAGATAGCGTGGATAAAGTAGCTGATGGATTCAAAGTGGTTGCACAGTCTGGGAACATTATAGCAGGTATTTATTTTATACTGAAATTGCCTTTTGATAACATTCGTTAAAGGAAAGAATTATGGCAGGCAGTGGTTAGAACCAAATGGGAACAGAATATCTCTTATTTAACTGCCAAATAAGTTGATTGTTTTGAACAATTTCTTGTGTATGTTTGCTTGCGTGTTGTGCTGTCATGATAATAAAGACATAGACATGAAAACAAATAGTCTTGTTTTTTAAGGTTTCAGGAAAATTTACCTTTATTTTTACAGTTTATGCTATTTTAAATAAAATATTGTGTGCCCTTAAGGCAGGGTAGAGGAAGACATACTGTAGTGTGCAGTGTAAGTGGTATTTGGTTTTTGCACTGTAATAGTACAAGTCAAACACTGTTTAATTATTAAATCTTGATTAACTTGTTATTGTAGTTAATATTATTGCATGAATGTTCAACTGAGCAAAAATAATGTTGGTACTGAAAGCAATGTTTCAAACATTACACACAGATTGTCACGGGAAAATGTAAGACCTTAGAATTTGGTTTTTTGAAAGCTACTCGAATTATTGAATGCAAGCAGCCTCTTTAAGGCTCTTTCCTAGGAGGTGGGAGACATGGAGAGGTCTTAAGTTTGCTCAGCCACTTAGTAAGATCTCAAAGTATTCACCTGGTTTATTTTAAATCTTTCATTTAAAAAAAAAAAAAAGGGGGAGAGGGAAGCTTAAGATACTGCTCTTAAGTCAGACAGGTAACTAATTTGAGAAAAACTGACCTTTTAAAAGACTTAAAGATGTTTTGTTATGGAAAGATTCTTTCCAGTCTACTGTTAAGATCCTTCAAAGTGATCTAGAATTCAGGCCTACTCAGATCGCTGTATAAATTGTTTTGCTGTGTAAAGTTTGCCGCATCCAGCGTGCAAGCCCCACCAGAGCTCTGATATCTTTAACTCTGCTTTATGGAGGCATTAGAAACAGAGTTGTACCTTTCCCGTCTGCCATGCTTCCCTGTGCCATTTCCCAGGGGCTTTTACAAAGGCCTGTGACTCCTATCTACAAGAAGGATCGGAAGGACGATCCGGGGAACTACAGGCCTGTCAGCCTGACCTCGGTTCCAGGCAAGGTCACGGAACAGATCATGTTGAGGGCCATTCCACAGCACATGCAGGAAAATCAGAGGATCAGGACCAGCCAACATGGATTTATGGAAGGAAGATCATGCGTGACCAATCTGGTTTCCTTTCATGACAAGGTGACCCATTTGGTAGATGAGGGAAAGGCTGTGGATGTTGTCTACCTAGACTTTAGTAAGGCCTTTGACATGGTCTCCCACAGCGTCCTCCGAAATAAATTGGCTGCTCGCAGCTTAGATAGGTGGACTCTCCGATGGGTAAAAAACTGGCTGGACGGCCGGGCCCAGAGCGTTGTGGTCAATGGAGCTAAATCCAGTTGGTGGCCAGTTACTAGTGGTGTTCCCCAGGGCTCAGTGTTGGGGCTGGTGCTGTTCAACATCTTTGTAGATGATCTGGACATGGGGATTGAGGGCACCCTCAGTAAATTTGCAGATGACACCAAACTGGATGGGAGTGTTGATCTACTGGAGGGTAGGAAGACTCTCCAGAGGGACCTGACCAGGCTGGATAGATGGGCTGAGATCAACAGCATGAGGTTCAACAAGAACAATGCCAGGTCCTGCCCTTTGACCACAGAAGCCCCGTGCAGTGTTACAGGCTGGGGGAAGAGTGGTTAGAAAGTGGTCAAGCAGAAAAGGACATGGGGGTGTTGATTGACAGCCGTCTGAACATGAGCCAGCAGTGTGCCCAGGTGGCCAAGAAGGTCAATGGCGTCCATGGCTTGTATCAGCAACGG